CTCACGGTCACCAGCAGTCACTGGGATGTGGTGGAACAACAAAAGGGGTTAAACCTGGAACCGGCTGTACTCTGCATGAACATCGTCACCTGGTTGCTCCTCTCTGCCTGAGGAATTGCAACATGATATTAATTCTACATTTATGAAAAGATGTAGCATTAGCTCACAATGTTTCCTTTTGTAAAACACACCACAGCACAGACTGTGTATTTTTTGCTCAAAGCATCAAATGTAGATTTATTCTGCAGAAAAATGTTCATCAGGGTTTTATGGATCCATCCATCGAGCTCAGGCACAGGGATGCATCGTAGAGTCGTGGCCTTCTGAGAACCACGCTCACTGCCCATATTTATTGTGTATTAAAAATATTAACTGAAAATGAAGGCGGAGCTTTAGGAAAAGGGTTGAATCAGAGATGCTGCAGCTGCAGCTGCTGGCTGAGGCTCCAAGTTTTCATTCATGTGCATTTATGGACTTCACAGGTCAAGTGATGCATTGATGAAAGCTTATTATGATTTGGTATTGATCTCTGATCTCTGTGGATGTACAGTCATGATCACGCTGCCACCTTGTGGACGTCACAGCACATCACACACAGAAAACCAGGTAAAGTTTTCATGCATTTCTTTAATATATCAGTTTTTTATATTCACAACAAATACATTAAGCTCTTTCTCTGTATGATACACCCTTAAATATTTTTACACTCAAACATTTGTTTGCCTATGAAAATGTCTTTTAATCTTTGTGACTTTATTTTGAACGTGTTGTACTTTGTTTGTACAGTTGTTGTCTCCATGCCTCCTCGCAAACTGACAGGATTTCCTTTGTACAATATTTACAGGTGAAAAAAACCAAACAAATCTAAAGTTTTACATGATAGTACTCGGTTGAAAGGAATCGTTGGGTTTAAGGTGCAGGCAGGGAGTGAGGGAGGGAATGTTTAAGAAGAAAGGAACGTGAAAGTAGAAGAAGGCGGCTAACGGAAAGCGCTGCGTGAGACGGAGAGTCCAGTGTTTGCTCCTGCAGGATCTATGAAGCTAGAGCAGATGTACGTGGTATTCCTGTAGAAAATAACCATCTCCAAGGAAAACCAACTCTTGAAAAACACGTGAGCCGATCCCAGCTCTGCAGGCGGCAGGAAGGAGGATGTTAACACTGCCTGTGGACGGCGGCTGTGTGCTCGGTGCGGTGAGGCTAAGCTCAGGTGCTGCATCACTCGGTCTTCATCAGCATCTCCACGGCCCAACGTCTCCGGTGCTTTAAGCCAACGTAAACTCAGAACTTTTCCATCCAAACTTTGGACTGTTTCACTTCTGTGTGACCGAATAAGACCGTGAGATCAACTCCTGTGCATCATGTGAACAAGACGAGTGGAAAGTAAAAAGTCTGATGTGCAGCTGGGATTTTAGTGCCTCTGTAAGAAACGTAGGAAGCAAAGTAACTCTTTAGCTTATGTAACGCGACGCACGAGACTCAAAGGCAACCACTGCTGACTCCACCCGTCCACGTCTTTGTGCAGCGTGACAAAGCTTCAAACTGATAACTGGAGCATTCAGACGGACCTCGTCCTGCTCTGTGGGTACCCGAGTTTGGTTTCACTGACCGCAGAGCTTCTTCATCATCTTCACGACTCGCTCTGGTGACACAATCACCTGCACAGGAGACTTTAACGAGTCCTCTGGAGAAAACGGCAGCTGTGGGCAAAGCTTTAGGGCGCCGTGGGTAGCAGCAAAACCTCCCCAGTGACAGGACGATATGTCGTTTAATAAAAAGGCCAACGTGACCTCTACATATCATCTAAACGGGTAAATAAACGCTCGTTACTGATCGACGTTTGGTTCTGGGCTTCTGGAGGTTTTGAGCGCCGGACACTGAATTCGAACCTTTCAATCGATCAGTCTCTCGCTCTGAGATGTGACGCTGGACGATACCGTGCATGCGCAGAGCTGTCATCAATCCTTGAATTGATGACGTAGCTACAACGTTCAGTCACGACTGCACACGAATGCTGTGTTCAGCGATGCATCCTGTCCCTGCAGCTTTGCTGATGTGTTAGCAAACAGCCACCTGCAGTGGAACCAGGCGAGAAAAGCTTTTATCAGATCAAGTCTTTCAATTCGTCGTCACATTTAGTCCGTGCCTGACTTTACTAAAGGCAGCGTCCAGCTAGTTGAAGTGGTGACAACAACGCGGTCTCTCTGTAATAAACTGGGAAACAAACAAAGCTCACACGTGCAGCCGTGCAGACTCCACGACCCCCTCGGCTCCCCCCAGCTGAGCCCCCGGTGGGCTGAAGCCTGGCAGCTTCTCTTTCTGCAGATACTTTGAATCTAACGCTTGTTGGCTACGTGACAGCGCCGGTTTAGTTCGATTTTCTAAAGCAGATCATCTCACGATGTGGCGACTGAAACAACGTTACAAATACAAACTCACTGGAAAGGAAGCCACGGAGGTGACGGGTAACGTCCGGAATAGAAAGACACACATGGAGGCGAAGACCCGCCCTGTCGGCGCTCGGTCTGACACGTCAACTAGCTGCGCGCTCTCAGTCCACGAGGGGAGGCCAGGAGCCTCGTCACGGCGGGAGGTCTGCAGGCTCGTCACACGGTCCTCAAATGAATATTTACAGTCCTGCAGCTTCACTGGAAGTCTGCTCGCTTCTTCAATTAGGAACAAAGAAACAAAAACAAAAAGGCGAGTCGCTCGTTCGCTTCAATCCAAAGTGCAAATATGAGTCACATGACTAAAACAAGGGTTGTAAAAAAAAATAAAGCCTGAAAATAAACCCATAAAAAGTCCCATAAATAAGTCAGTGTGTGCAGGCCTGCCTGTACAGGAAGAAGGCAAACAAAGAGCAGAACAAATCTAAACCTGGAACAACATGAACGTACAGAGAATGTAAGAGGTGGGATTAAAGGACATTTCCAGAACTTTCAAAGCTGCAGATCTCGATCAACAGCAGGTGACTCTGCAGCCGGGAACACGTCTGTGTGAGTGCAACGCTAAAGCTTTGTGGTCCCACAGGAGAGAAGAAAGCAACGCCACAACGTGCACTTAGTGTGAAAACGATGAGAAGCAAAGAAACGCCGCGAGCAGGTCCAGCTGAAACCTTCTGTGACCTGATGTTACCTTGGAGACGATCATTTCTGCTGCTTGTCACATGACCACAACATCCTTTGAAAGCTTTTAAAGTGGAATGGAGAACATGGTGGAGGTGCAGATCTGTTGCTGTCCTCGCTGGCAGAGAGCAGCTGCCATGTTGGAGACGAACTCCAGAAACACCGAAAACAAAAAACGGCTAAAAGATCCAAGACAAAGTATTCCCAGCAGCTGCTAGCTAAAATGGAAAACACAAATGGAAAAAATACAAACAGATTTCTCTTTCAAGTCATCGTCCTTCACAATCCTCCTCCAGCCCATCCCAGGGAAGCGCCAACGCCTTCCAGCAGCTGGCGGCGTGAAGCCTCCTCTCGGTCCGCAGGCCCGTTCTCTGCTCAGCAGCACGGCTAACGCCCAGCTCCTCCTCGCCGGCACGACAGCGACCGGACAACTCGCATCCAAAGCTCTCCTGTAAATGGTTTTCCTCTGTGGGTCAACTTGGATCCATCAGGCAAGGCGATTACTTCCTCCTCAAAGCGGTTTGGTACGGATATCTTTGTCTTCGCTTTGTTGTTGTTCCGTCTTTCCTGATTAGTTTGTGTGTGTTGCTGCCGTCTGCCCAATGGACGGCTTCTTGTTAGTGAGGCTGCCTTCTTCGAGGTGACGGAGGAAGAAAACGGCGCGTTGTTTTTTTCCTTTTTCTTTTTTTTCCCAGTAATGAATGAATCCACCGCAGGGACACGAGACTGTTGAGGAGTGACGAGGGATGGACTGCTGGTATCTGCCGCCATTTATTTAAATGCTGAAAACTCCCCTGAAAAGATAAAGAAACAAAGACAGACGGTGTGTGGAGAGCAGCGTCACGTTTCAGGTGCAAATATGAAGTTAGTGCGTCTCCAGTGAAGTTTACTTTATGAAACAACACTCACCC